GTAATGTACGGGCTTTCAAAATCCGGGTGTCACAAACATCTTACGAGTTCACTGTCGAAGTGGGCGTTGCAATTTGAATAGATAGGACGGAGCGGGGAAACGGCATATCCATTCATTGGGCGGTGCCTGTTTTACGGGCGTGGCGTCCTGTAGCAGGAATGACACGGCGTCTACTTATTGTAACAGCCCACGATAACAAAGATGAAATTGTGTCCTGCCGTAATGTCGATAAGCATCCAGCGATAGTAAGGTGTGAGGGGGAGTGGTACGGTTGCTGCATGATGGGCTTAAAAGCCCACCGAACACGTCGAACGTGTTTGGTTACGCATAGATAGTCTACGAAATCCTTGTAGAGCCCCACATTGCCAAGTTCACGGTGTAGGTCAGCTAGTACTGGTAGAGCAAAGCTACTCAGAACCATGATAAGGGGTGGGTCGGATACTTTTACTTAGTACGACCGCGATCGTGCCTTATCTAGCCGGCCGCGATGATTTCCCGAACTGTACCTCTCCACGACTGAAGATCAGCGGCAGCAGATCTAGACAGTCCAACCCATTCTTTTCGCCAGCGACGAAAGCCGAATATCGAAAGTCCAAGAACCACCTCCATGTCCTGACGAACTGTGTCGAGCCCGGTTTTGAGTTTACACTCTCCAACGCCTCCAATGGGGTAACGATGCCGGATCGAGGACATTAATACTGAGCTCCTGAGGTGGACGACGAAGAACATGCCCAAATCACCTCAGTCGTCTTTCTCGGATGGCCTGGGTTATCCTTGTGGTGTTGTCGCAGCGAGACCGGACTGTCTCATCTGAGACGAAGTCCATGTACTTCACTCGAAGGATGATTCTCAAGCAGTGGTGGTCAAATGCCTCCAGTTTTCGCTCGTCCTCCATGCGCACAGCCCAGCACTCACAACCATAGAGAAGGACAGGTGCACGGCACACGTGAATCTCAGTGGCGATAGAGATGTCGCGTCGGATCCATAGGCATTTCCTAAGGCTTGAGAAAACGACGGGCAGCATCGATTCGGGAGACAATGTCACCATTACTTTATCTATTCGACAGCAGCCTCGCCCCAAGGTATTTAGAACTGTCTACTTCAAGTTGACAGCCATCAATCCCGAGAGGTGCCTTCTCCTGGTCAGGGATACAGCTTGAAAACACTAGTCTTCCCAGCGTTTATGGATAAACCGATGGTCTTAGCTACCTTATTCACTCATGATACCATAAAATGTAGATCGCTGGAGGTTGAAGCTAATAAAGCGATATTCTCAGCGTAGGCGAGATCAGTCAGTCGGCACTCGGCTGCAAACTCGACATCGTCAACTCCGTTTAGGGCCCTTCCAAGAATCCACTCAGTGGCGTAGTTGAACAGAATGGACGGTAGGATGCAACCTTTTCGATTGTCAGGTCGAATACCGAACGGTTGGGAGAGATTGTCATGGACTAGGACTCGTGCTGTGGGTAAGCGCTAGAAGACCTTTATCATCGCGAGGATTTTGGCCGGCACGCCACCTAGCTCCATTATTCGCCACATGACTCAGGATGAATGGAATCAAACGCAGCGGCGTGGTCAACAAAGCAGACGGCCGTCTGTTGTTGGTAACTATGACAGAATTCGACAATACTCCTCAATGTGAATATCTGGTCGGCACGTCCACGCCCAGCTTAACATTCGGCCTGGTTATGCCTCGTTCCCGAGTCACGTACAGCCTGGAATCGCCTGAGAAGAGCGACGGCGAAGACTTTCGCGGCAACTTCGATGAGGTTTATACCAAGGTAGTTCCTGATCTCGTCCTGTCGTCCTTGAGATCAGATACAAGGATGCCGGAGGCCGCCATGAAGAACGACCTCGTCTTCCCCCCACCCCTTGTTGAATCCCCTCATAGAGTTTGAACACCAGAATGTCGACACAAAACTCCTGGATCTTAGCTGGAATACCGCCCCCTCCTTGTATTGCCTCGGCGACTGCTTCTTCAGAAGGGGCGGGGGGTGGGCGCATGATACTTTATAGGTTGGCGGGATAAAATTAAGCTGCAGAGTGCGAGGGTTTAGTGAGTTCCTCATAAAAGTTGAGAAGGTGTTCGAAGTGCTCACGCGGGCGGCCGATCTTGGTCAAGTTATTAGCAACAAAACCGACGTCCACATCGTCGACAGTCACTCAATGGCAGATAATTTGCTAGAGTTTTCGAGTGTCGTCAACGTTTAAGGTCTGCTCCACGGAGGTGGATGTCTTAACCCAGTATTTTTTTCGGTCATCCCTAGCCGATTTTGTCGTCATTTTCCGGGGTCGGCGGAATTAATCATCATTACGGGACCTGGCTCGGGCAGTTTGAGCAGACAACTTCACGGTCTTTCGGTTGATCCAGTTACTACAACGTCGCCGGATGTATCCAAAAGTTTTCTCAGCTGCCCCATAGACCGATGACTAACGATGACCACTGTTTACTGCCTTCTCCGTCGGTTGAGGTCGTTAAACAGGATCCGATTTCACTACTTATGGTCTCGGTTGTACTGGACTGTCGTAGTTTGGCGACACCAAGGCGTCGTGTACGCGGCGTTTTGGATGCAGTTGAGAGGTCAACTTTTAAGCGTGTGCGAATAAAAACGTGGTGCGACCTATGGGCGTTACCAGTTTTGGTATCACGCCTCGATCCGCTACTGTGAACCCAGCTGTGGAACCTTGAAGTTGTAGACGTATGCCGCAGAAGTCATCTGTTGGGGCCGAACTCCTCAAGATTTGACGCATTGTGCGAGTCTTCGGCGCCATGAATCAGGCACAAGGAATTTTTGTTTACCAACCTAAGAGCGTCCCCCGAACCCGGGAAACTAAGCAGTCAGACTCTGTCATAAGTACGTTGGGTAAAGCGTGTTTTCTCTTGCGAAATGGGACAGTCATATCGCTGTTGTGTTCATTTTGGATGAGAGCGACCTTCGTGAACGATGACGTCCGCCGTTTGCTCCACGGAGTGGGCGCAGTACTGGTGAATTGCGCGTAAATTATTTTTATTGGGGAGGCTTGCACAGCATCTGACACACTCTCCTCTCCCACGCACCTGCTTCACAGTTCTTCTGCTGGTCCAGTCAGTGCGGCGTCCGCTGGGTGTATCCAAGAATTTTCTTAGCAGTCCCATAGATCGATGACCTTAATGATTACCACTGGCTTGGGTAGTAAAACAGCACCGAATTTCTCTGCTTAGGGCCTCGGTGGTGCTCGGCTGTCGTAGTTTGGTGACATCAAGGCGTCTTAAGTGTAGATGAGAGGTGCGTGTGCGGATGAGAACGTTGTCCGATCCGTGGACATTACTAATTTCGGCACCACGACTCAATCTGCCATCGTGAACCCAGCTGTGGAACCTTGGATTAATTTATCAGAATGTAATCGATCTGACTGGCCGCATAACCGTCGTTCGAATCCCACGTCAGCTGTAATTTCAAAACTGATGTATCTGCCAGGAAGCGCGCAGGGGTCGCTTGGAAGCCCACCAGTGAGCCGAATCCCTCACAGGCCTGTCTCGTATCTGATAGATACGAAGAAGAGGGCTCCATGAACTAATCGCAAGGGAGGAGACAATCGTTGGAAAGAGGCGCTGTTGGCCACTACTACTGCTGCTAATACCACTGCTACTACTACCACTACTGCCACCCTTATCTCTGTCTCGGATGATAGATTCGAGTGAGAATCCGAAACGTCAGGCTAACAAGGCTCTTGTGCCAGTGATCGTGTCTCCATCGGCAGAATATCGGCGAAACACGTTTCCAGACTTCCAGCTAGTACTCTACTGTCGAGTATGATGTACCATACAACTTATGCATTTTCTACTGGCTCCCTGTTTATAAATAGTTCGCGACCATTCCGCTATGGCTTATGGACTTCGGCCGAAATGTTAATGTCAACTTTCGATCTTACCCGAGAAAGCTTAATTCAGACTGATTTACTCCATGTTAGCGATTAATTTCGGAGGAAATTAAAGGACCGCAAAGTCAACGTATTTTCGCGGTGATGCTGGAAGCATGTCTTTGTGACAAAGAGTCGATTTTGATTAGCAAAGTCCAGCATTCTCTAACTATTGTCGCATAGTATCAAGTCGAGGCCGACCAATAACGTTACTGTTTGAAGAATCGTCGGATCCCGTCTGCGTACATACAGCCGGTAACACTAGCCCATTACGTTCAGGCCTACCTCGGCACAGTTCTGTTGGCGGTTGATGTGCTGGGAACTGCGTGTAACTAATGCAGAACCAACGATTATACAGTCGGCCGGTGACACGTTCGGTCATTTGGGTCCTATTTGGTGATTAATAGATGGTTCGTCTACATGCTGGATCGACCCAAGTTTGAAATTTTGCAGGGCGTTATTTTACCAGAAACCGACCCTATGCTAATTAGAAACCAAAATTGCACCCGAATGTCGCCCCCTAACTCCGAGATGCCACTATCTGGAATCTGTCACCTGCATAATAGTAGCAAGACGGTCCCGGGCCGTTGTGCGTCTTACAAACACAGTTAGTGCGTGTATGTAGTGCAGGAAGGGTCTGCCAACAGAGATACGGAGTCTGTGGTAGTAATTCTTCCCTTGCATGTCAGTGAGCAACATCCCAGTCACGAGCCTCGAGACGTTGAATCTAGATCAGTAGCCAAGTGGTTGTCTATGCGAGGTACGACCGGGGCTGCAAGACAACATCGAGAACGCGTGTTTAATCACACAGCTATGCCAAGTCAGTGGGCGCACTTACTTGATATGTTACTAATTTGTGCTTTGGGCTATAATAGTAAGTAGAAATTTCGTGCGAATTAGCGACGAGTTCCGACCGCAAAAACGTTTCAGTCTCTCCACCACAGATAAGGTCGGAAGATAAATGAATAGTAGACAGAACAACTTCCTGCAGCGATGGACCGGACTTTGACAGAGGATCGCTTTATTACCAAAAATTACACCAAACGTAAAATAGCAAAAAGTAACGGTAATATTGGATTTTACTTTACACGTAGCAATTTTCACTGGGTGGACCGTGCTCGAGTCTCCCGAAGGGCAGCAACCCACTCCCTGACGCATGGGGTTTTGAAGACATTTTCCGTGCTCTGGAAGAATTCTTCGAGCCAGCCTGGATGTCCCGCCTCATTTTCATACTCAAATGCCTGTAGGATCATTTCAAATCTACAGATGTGTCGCGCTCGACTTGAAGAGTAAAGGCCTACTTGTCTAGATCCTTGCAAACTATAGCTTCTGGTGTCAACTGAGCATCGTACTCCTTAAGACGGACGGGTTAAAGAAGATAGATGACAAAAGACAAACCTTCAACAAACCAACGAGTTCGGCCCGACTGTCAGCCGGCAATGGTTCGCAAATTGATTCCATAGCGGCCTGTGTGGATAAACATGCAGCAAGTAATGTCGAGTGGAGACAAAAAGGATACTAACAACGAAAGAGACCTTGGTTTTCAACAAATCGAACCGAACTCAGGGAGTCAGATGCCCATATTTAAAAAGAGCAATGCAAAATGTACAGAATGCAGTACTAATTTTGACATATTCTCCGATCAAACACGACAGTTCGACCGCCGTATCCGAGACATCCGGCGTGTGCCCATAGCGCGCTAGCGCAGGGGCGACGACTTGAGCGTGACCTAGTTTATAGTGGTAGAAGACTTTCGTTGCATCTACTGCCATAGCTCCTTCTCTCCCACCTGGGCGTCAAGAAAACCAGGGCGTATGATAAACAGACAACCTGTTATCGCAGGTAGGCACCCATGTAAGTCTCCACAACTACTGTTTACGATCACGCGTTTGCGGCGGACATTGTGTTCAAAAGCACAACAGAAATAGACACACAAACGAGCATGGACCTTTTCGGTCCCGATTGTGCAAACTCAGGTAGCACCATCAATATGAAGACGATGGTCAAGCATCAAACAGCACCAACAAGTGAGTACACTAGGCTCAGGACCAACGAGAGTGCAACTCACCTCGCATCCATGGAAAAATGCCCTACTTAGGCAGTATAATTTCAGTAAATATAACGACCAAGTACGAAGTCGCAAATCGGACCTCCAAAGCCGGCCAAGGCGTCGGTCGACTGCAGGACTCGGTTTACAATCGCCGCAGCCTCCGCCTCAGCACGAAACTGAAGGTGTACAGAGCTGTCATCCCGACAACGCTCCCGTATCTGGTTGAAACCTGGACAGTCTACGAAGACCAACAGAGGAGGCTTAACGACTTTGATATCAGATACCTCCGGCAAATACTGAAGCTAAAGCGGTAAGACAAGATCCCTGATGCGAAAGTCTTCAAAGGGACAGGAATCCGAAGCATCCAAGCCATACTGAGTCAAATACAACTGCGATGGAACAGTCAGATTGTAAGGATTGATGATGAGCGCCTATCCAAGCGACTAATCTACGGCGACGTCGTTACGGATGCTCGCCGATAAAAAAGGGCGCTACAAGGATACCCTGAAGACTTTCCTCGAAAATCCGTAAATCAACCCCGAGGCCTGAGAAGAGAACTTCAATAAAGATCGACAAGCCTGGGAAACCGCCGTGAAAACTGGAGCAATCATCTGCGGAGCCAACCGGCTAGTAGCTGTTAAGGTAAAGACAGGGGCTCGCAAACGTCGCAGACTAACAACTCAAGAACCCAGCCCCATCACGCCCACGTTGGCAGCGGACATTCTAAGCGCGAATCGTCCTCGTCGGGGATTTTCGGACCCAATGTAATATCGACATTGTAACTCCTTCCCTTTCAAAAACTCCGCCGCCGCCGCCGCCGCCGCCACCGCCACCACCAGCAATGCGGGCTCAATCCTAACCTGCCCTCATTGCTATTGCAGTTTCACGTCACACATTAGCCTGATTGATCACTTGCGAATTCACCACACAGAGATCGGCGGTCAGCACCTGAAGCCACGAAGCGTGCCTCAGCTGCCCGCAATGGCCTAGGGCATTCAGACGTCCCATGGGTGTTTTTGGTCACATGCGCATCCGAAACAGAGAAATTCACCGCAATGTCACTGCAAGTCCAGTTCCTGCATCAGAAAACTGCTCCACCACCGGCGTCGTCGCCACCTACCGCACGTCAGCACCGCCAACTTAGCAGTCACATACCGTCTGCACTGCCACAGAAAATTTGCATCGCGTATCGAACTGGTCGGCCACTTGCGAAGCTGTTGCGCTAAGACTGACAAACCACCGCCATGCCCCCAACATAGATCTGTGGCGCCCGCCTCACTTTTCCACATTCTGCATGGACATTCAGCCAATGCATGGGCCTATTCGGCCGTATGAGCCTCAATGAAAGTCTTCGGTAAAACACTGCAATCCGGACCCCAACACCACACCGCGCCCTTCCTGCGCACAGACACATCCCTAGGCCACATATGAACCCTCTACACACTACGCGCCACCCATGCAATGTCATACCCCTTTTCAGCATCAGGTATGAGAACAGCTTTGTCATCGTCGCAATGACGAGTGAAACTTCGCATGCCAGAAAATGCAAATCTCACGCATGTGCGAGGTATGTACTTCGTGCATCAGGGTACAACAAGGGTGGGAAACAAATGGCGTGGGACGCGCAGATGGGCTGTTTATCTCTGTTAGCCACCGCACTCGGGCCCGCCTGCGGTCGTCTTGACATTGTCTTGCTACTGGAGCAAGGTGGGCGAGGGCGGGGAGAGTATGGCAGCTATTAAGGAAGTCTGCTTCACTATAAGCTAATTTACGCGTAAGTTGAGAGGCGCCGCACCCACTCTGTGGGGCACAAGGTAGAAGTCATCGTTCGCGACAGTTGAATTGCATAATACACCTTATCGCTCACACAACTATCTAACGTCTTTTCAAGAGAACATCTGGTTGCGTACATGAACAAATCCGAAAAATAAACAATGCGTAGGTTTCCCGACATTTTCGGCTATTTATGCATTTATTGTTCTCTCCCCAACAAAAAAGTCTTACCTATGTCCTTGAACATCTGTATTTAAGAGTAAGGAGACATTTAATTAAAATCCGAGGATCTTCGGGAACCCGTTTCACATTTTAAGGTGTTCGTGGTAGTCTGCACGCATGCTTTGTGACAATATCCTCAGGAATCGCCGACACAAATAACCTAACAAGTCTTCCACAGCTGATAGATTTTGTAAGTATGGCTGACAAACCTGCGGATATCAGAGCACACGTATGCACTTCTGACCAAAGAGTTTGTAAACAACGATGTTCCGAATTCGGTCTGCAGTTTACGATGAGTTTAAGCTAGAAAAACTAAGAAAAATATGCAAACGAGTCCTCGTAAATCTATATGTAGCGAAGATTTTTCAACCACCTCAATCTATCAAACGCAAAAGTAGGTGAGCATGTGGAATAAAGGCGTGTTTGAATGAAAATGACTTCAATATTCGTCAATTCCGATCATGCAAGACAGACAGAATCTTCCTAACATGACTAAAGAGACAGCAGTTTCGCACGGTGGAAAGTCATTACGTTACGAACTTGCGTCAAAATTTCAGGAGAGTTACAGAGGCATGGTCAGGAAAAGCAAACAGTCGGTAATTTGAAAAAAAGCAAATCAAAATGGAAATGGCGCTTTGGAAAGGGCAGAAATTAAAAAGTTAGTCAAAGGTGAAGTATTGACCCCTTTAAACATTACTTCCAATAAAGTTGTGACTTGCTACAATTAGCGCAAGAACATGCAGTTGAAAGACGGTTGGTCTTATGCAGATAACATGAAATGAGAACAAATAATTGACCGGCCACTGCCATATATTGGTTTAAGCAAGTCATCAATACAGTAGCTGGTTCCAGAGGGTCAATCCACAAAGGCCTAGAAGTCAAGCAAATGCCCTCTGAAAAATCGAATGCCTGGTATACCAGGAATATATTCCAGAAGGCTTAAAATGTTAAAACGGAGTTTGCCGCACTGATCACTGGGGAACCCCTACGTTCATCTCATATAGCACCGAAAAGCGTAAAAACTAAAAAGTGTTTATTTCTTAAGATTCGTGGGTACTTGCAAAATATTCAACGGTTAGTCAGTGCGTTACTTCATTCCCCACAAACCCGAATTCAGTGACTTGGTCTGTGTATAGGCATCGTGCACTGCAACCCGACCCTCAGTCCGGGGGATAATAAGCTACTTGTAGAGCTTCGTACGGACTCCAATGGGCGTCGGCCGCACTTTTAAGTCTTATTCCCATCGTGTAAACGTAGTAATTCCGAGTCAAGTTAGTTGGAAACAAAGTCAAACGCAGGTGCTTGTGTGGGGTAAAGTCCTGTCTAACGTGTGCCCCGCGTTTAATAGGTGATTGTTTGCGTCTGGCGCAAGTTAGTTCCGTTTTAAAGGTCTATGCGGACTGGAACACAGCACAGAGGAAAACCTAACCTCTTCTCGAGCGTGTTTCTCCTCGACAGAAACTCCGCAATAGGGAGTTAAATCTCCGACAATGCATTCGGCGAGATCGTGGATGATGGCCATCTTCATCACCCTTAAGAGAAAGAGATAACAATTCACAAATGAGTTGATAGATCACCGGTGCTGTGAGTTTATTCAGCAATGCGAGCAGTATCAGCTGGGGTACTGATAATTTTGCAACATCATCTCAAAACATGTTTTGCCTCATTCTTCGAAGCGTAGAAGCTGATTTAAGGAGAATGGCCAAGACTGCTTTATTATTGGATTACTTAACTTGGGTGCAGGCATAAAGCAATGGAGACCGGGGTAAGTCTATTGAAAAGTGACTTCCCTACTCACAAACCGCGGAACATTTATGCATGCACACTGCTTTGGTAATGACAGGTGATACTGCTCACAGAAAAATATTGTCAAGGGTCGTTATCACAACGGTTTATTTGTTTTGCAAACCAGAAGTATGGCAATCCAAGAAACTACCGACTGGACAGATCGTAATTGCTTCAGAAGGAATGTTCTAGTTTCTACTGGAAAGATCGCATCGGATAGTAGATGCTAGACCAGAGGGGCACATCTCACAACTGCGGTCTCATTTTACTAGGCAACAACACGAACTCCTTTCTGAAAATATCACCCAAAAGCTACATAACTATCCGATGGGAAGTGCTGAAAATGGAACAGACAAGTGAAACAGAACACACACATGGGGGTCGAAGGTCATAAAACCCATTAAATCCCCTAGATCTGCTGTCAAATGAAAGGTTACGTATTCAGGATTTCGATGCGGACAATGGCATAGGGACCCGGGTTACTTTACGCATTACGACATCAGTTATTATAGCTGCCTACGACATACATTTCCGCCGTGATTTTCGATAGCTGCATAGTTAACTATCCTCTCTAAAAAGACCTGATGGAATATTTTCAAAATAGCTACCAAAACACATGAATTTTAGTGGTCATTGGATTATTTGATCGCGTACCATCCATACCCCAGCTACTGAGTTCGAACACGCAGCCTTCCATTATTGATAACCTGAGTCCAGTGAGCTATTGGACCGCCGTCTCGCCAGTGGTTATCACAAGTATAAAAGTCTCATAAAAGTGGACAAATCTATCCTAATAAGAGAACTCGGGCGACTCCTGACCGAACCATCAGTACTTCCCGTTAGTAAAATTTATAAACGGATGTGAAGTATCTTCCGTGTAGTTTGCGGACGAAGGCATCTTATCGAGCTTTTGGTGCACCTCGTTTGGGTCCACCACTCACCTGTTACGAAGGTTCTATCGAAATAACGACCTAACATCGACGAACTCTCCCAGTTGGAGCCGTCCAAACAGCCCCTCGAGGACACCCGCTAGAAGGGGTCATAGCGAGGACTCAATGGCCATCCCATCGGTCTGTCTACACAGGTGTCCGCTGGATAAGAAATTCGCATTTGGATTGCATCGTAGAAGCAATTCTTTCGACACATCCATCACTGTGTAAATTCCAGTTAGCTTCTTAGTAAACATGCATAAAAAAACAACAAATTCTGCCCCAGGAAGAACTCTTTGATAACGATGTCGCATGTAGCGTGGCCGTTTTCGCCTTAGATTAAATGAAAATTTCCGTTTTGGACCACTTGTGTCGATATTCTCATGTGTGCCTGTAAAAAGGGTCGCATTGTTCGGACGGCTTTGGATCTTCGGAAGAAAATGAAAGAACACCTCCGGCTATGGTTGGGAGGGGGTCGGGCCAAAGATCCTCTACAGCTCACCCTAGAACATACGGTTGGTAATTCTCATCGGGTGAACGCCTACCTAGTCTTTACTGTTATCTGCCTGGTAACAAACTGTCACTCTTTCAAAAATCACTATCAAAAATGGTTAGATTTGTATGGAGAATCAATAACCAATACTGCTTAAGTAGCATTTTGTGAGTGGCATCCTCAGAGGTAATTGAAAAATCTTCTAGTCGAGTCACCACACCACGATGTGGGTATCCACCTTGGGCAAGGAATTACAACCTCCGGGATTTTAACCCCATTTGGGAAATTTTCTGCATGTGACGGCATGGTTCATTATCGTAATTGATGGGGTGTGTGCTCCTGCACAAGATAAACAGTCTACACTGAATTCCCGGACTCTGTCTTCGTGGTAAGGTTGTGGACGGTCAGAACCGAGTAATAACGAAACAGGATTCGGTAATTCTGCTTCCATACAGGAAATGACCTAACGCTCCTTGAAATCAGTCAGCTTGGATAACCCTTCACAAGCAGCGGTACCTCATTCAGGCGAATTTTTGGCTGGAAAAACCCACGAAAGTAGGTTACGCTGAATCTAGCGTTCTTACCAGTTTTGGTAGGTGCAAATTGCGGTCTACCCAGCTGCTAGAAACTTGTTTTCGCCAGGTTCCACACCTGGCAGAATCTGACAATTCTTCGTAAGGTAGATTAAAGTCCAATGAGCAAGGGAATACAACCTTCAGCACCTACTTGAGCGATTAGTCCCCGCTGTATCTGCTCAAATTTGTTCAAGATCGCGAAAAATCCCTAAATACGCATTTAGATATGTCCAAAAATAGGTAAGTAGGGTTGAGCGCCTTGTAAGAGTTAAAAATAACTAAACCGGTCCATATATTCCACATGCTGATCCTTGATGGGGGATTTTCCAATGCACTTGAACTAATCCCAGTGGTGGAAATGCTACTACGATTGATATCTTCTATCAGACGCCATGTTGATTTAAAGACAAGCATTTTGCTGAGACAACGATGATGAACAGGTAACTATCGTTGTAATTCTGGAGAACTTGAGACGCCTGGTCTTCCATGAATCGCAATATCCTTTGCTTTTAAACCCAAGATTTGGACATACACTGGCAGATCCGTCTAAATATACATCTAGTCTAATACTTGCGGACATAACCTTGCTAACTGTACAAAACACTAGGCTGCACGCAAGTGACGCTTACAGATCTAGTCTGATTACAGGGCGGAACACGACAGGTGTGTATCCCTGGAAGCTCCGGACTAGTTCTAGGAAGTATCATTGTGAACGGCAATCACTGATTGAAAAGTATCACTAGCAAAGACGAAGGAGACTGGGTTTCTACTTCCGGTATACCTACCGTCCACTGTCAGCCGTACACGCACACCGGGCTGGAAAGACCTTGTCTCGGTTATTGATTGTTTTTCGCTATGCGCGCACTCGTGAGGGTCTTGGGTTAGAGTTCTAAAGCCCAATGAAAGGGACGTATTCTATCTGGTAAAAAGAAGAGGTCGCTGAACAACATCTCCCGAGGTCCTTAACATTCTCATTTACAGCACAGCTAGAGCTCGTGACTCAGCTGGAAGTGTACTGGACATGAGTTTCAAACACATGCCCTGGGAGCCCTGGGTCGGAGTATGCCCGGCTTGCCACGACAAATAAGCTAGAAACACTCCAATGCCCTTAGTATTTGTCGCTGCTATCGCTTAAGGAAGCGTCTGCGTGGTTGAGCAGAAAACGATTAGGATGTGCGAGACCGCAGTCAAAGCCATTCTGTCCAGCCACTACGAAGCAAGACCTGTTACCTCCGAAGGAAACTGTAGTTCAAGATGACGGACTATATCTGGGACATATAACTTCACGGTCGACTGGGAACACTTCATGATGGAGATGCTATAAAAGGTAACAGTCTCAGACGGTTCGGCTACATATCGCGTTGGCCCGTGAAAGCACTCCACTTTATTGATTTTAATCCCCGTCCTAATCCGTGTTATTGCAAGGATGACCAGTTAGAAAAAGACAGAAAGATGTTCAGACGGCTTGAAACTCGACAAACCATTCTAGTCCACCGACGTCTGCGTGCGGCAGGAAACCACCACGTCACACAAGTCGGGTTTACCAAATGCGTACGAGTTAGAAATCAGTACGTCCTCCATCTATAAGCGACATTTAGGCGCTAAAGCTCGAAGGCAACCAATCGGTGCACCAGTTTGACAACGCCGTGACTCTTAAATACTACACCTTAGACAGGTGTTTAGAAGTTTATGTACGTACACTGGTTGCCACAGTAAAGACGAGCCCTCAGTCTTTGTCCCAGGTGTAGTGGACGCGATCAAGTCAGGCCTGAACAGATTAGTGAATACAACAATCACAAGTGCTCGAGAGTATTACATCGAAGAGACAATGATTGTTGAAGGTCTAACCGTCGAGTGAAGAAAATGGACAGAAATAGGTGTCAATGGCGCTGACTGTCAAGACTGATAAGCACTAATGACCGGCAAGTGATGGTAATAATACCAAATACCAACAAATCCTAACTGGTTAGGGTGGTTGAGTGACACCGCACACCCAATCTGACACCTAACATATTGACAACAGAGGAAGAGTAGCTGGGAATAAAATAGATATTTGAAAACCAAAAGGTTTCCACTTCTCTCCCCAACTTGCTTTACGTAACAAGACAATCCGGTGTCTATTATAATGGCCACAAGTTGTACACCAATGAAATCTCAAATGGCCGGCGCTCACAAGCGACCGGATAGTTTGATATCGTAGGAAGTGCGGTCTGAGGGCGCAGCAATGACTTGCACAAACGTTTTCAAAGTGAGGCAGAATTGCACAGAAGCCACTGTACTCCTTATTTCAGAACCCGTCGTGCACGAACGACAAGATAAAGTCAAGACGGCTGCAGGTGGTGGTGGCCAATGACGGACAACACTAGATTGCCCACTTATGCGTGTCTACATTACCTGATCTCTCGGTCCACGCGTATTCGGCACCGGCAAGGGAGGCCCTAGTCTCACGTTAGTATCATAAAATTCACACACAAGCACCGCTGCAGTCTGCCCGCCAGTGTGGGAAGACAGATTAGTCCAACAAGTTAGAAACTTTCCAAGCCATGATATACAGCGCGTATAATGACCTACGGTTAGGGAATCAAGCACTTGATCCAAGTTGGATCGAATCCGCTTTGCTTTTTTGGTTCGTGTCCCGGCGGCTCGTTGTAGTCCGTCAGACCAAGGATGAAATTGGAGACGGTGGTCGACTTGACACAGAGTTGTCCTCCGACGCATGTGGGACAGGGGCTCGGATCTCACAGAGGTAAAAGCGCATAAAGGTCGCTGCAGTCTGATCTTACTTCTAAAGGCCACAGAACTGTGCTGTCCGTTTGCGGTCTTTTAAGACACGACACTTTGAGCGCCGTGACCGTTCTGCGCGGGTCAGAATCGCTTTACGGAGTATTTTTCTCATGCGCCGTGGCTTGGAAGACTACCAATTAATGTTGGAACTCGCAGTCGGAGCAGTGTGCGTTTGTGCGGAGTGGCCGACTAATGGACTGAGAGTAAGGCTGCAATGGGCCATAACGTGACCTCTGGCATTATCATGCATGTGATATAAATGTGAACACCCCTTTTTGTGAAACCCTGGTGCCGGTGTTCAGGGAGCCAGGTCGTGCGTGTGGTGCTCGCAGACGAGCCCTCTAGCTCTACCAGCCATGCGCACACTTCAAGCGCCAGACATGTGACCGACTCGGACAGTGGCTGGGACATTCGAATAGTGAGATCGACGGTCATCGCGCATATTCCTCACAACCTAACGCGCTTGAGTCTACCATGGTGTTCCAGAAGCCGTGGCTCGGAAGGTTGTCAACGGACGGGATAACTAGAGCCTCGTAGTCAGCCCAGTGTATATTTGTTTGGAGTGACCAACTGGCGGACTGGGAGACAGGCTACAATGGCTCCTTAATGTTGCTCCTTTGGTATTCCCACTCCACGGGACCCGAGCCACCTCCTTTTTGTGGTTGTGTAAAACTCTGGTTAATGTACGTTGTGGGCCAGAATGTGTGGTGGTACGCCTAGGTACGGGTTTACGCCATGTTAGTCATTTGCGTCCTCACCCGCCTCCGGTCTTCTTGACTCTGTCTTAACACCGGGTCCACGTGGGCGAAGGAGTGTGGTATGTTTAGTGTAAGTCTGTTATCACTTTAAACTAATTCACGCGCAAGTCATCATTCCCGCTCTCACCCTAGGGCGAGGCACACGGTGGATATCGTCGGCAACGACGGTCGAATTGCCATTGTGCTCAAGTGCCGTGGACAGCTCAGTACCGGCCACACCCTTCCATTTATCATACAGCAGTCGCTTATGTGACTGTAGACTAAATATGCAAACAAACTGACGTAGCGCGAGCCTGCGTCTTTAGTGTGTGCCACACAAATTGACACAGAATTAAAGCGACACAACTAATGAGTGTAGTCCCGTTTAAGCCTAGCGCAAAAGTGTGGCAGCCCAATTCGAGCCCCCAGGAAATCCAAGACCGTGTACAATTCAAATGCGACAAAGCATGAGTTCAGAGTGGCTTACTTGTCTACAGAAAAGCTTTCCGTTCTCGGCAAGAGAGTTGAAATAAGCGCCATGCGGTACATATGCTCAGCCACGCTTTCGGGACGTTCTATTCCATAACGTGTCCATCCTGTTCTCACGGTACGCTTGGCAACAAGATGAAAATGACAAAAGGTATTCTTAGAGGGAGAACGTTGACGTGTCCATCGATGATTGAGAAAACTTTTAAATATCTTAACCGAATTTTTGAGAAAAAAATTTCTGTCGACCATTCGATGGCCTCGGCGGGCACAACTGAGGATTTTTTGTAGTACGGCATGCTCAAACTGTCAAGTCACTAACTACTGGGAGGAAAAAAACGTAAGGGCCCCGGTACGTCCATGAACACAATTCGACGCCTACTGGACCGTGGAAGGAAATCTCGTGGGCTGAGAGCTTCCAGAGGTATTACATAAGGGGTAATGAAATTCTCCGTAGCACCAACTTTGCGTCGACCACCAGACAACTGATAGTAAACTGCGGATGTTAACATCCGCAGGAGTGGTCGCGTCACGCATCCACCAGTCTAATCCAACCATCCCAGGGCTATCAATTGATTGTTGGTACGGCATACTGCGGTTTTGCCGTTAGTACCTGAGGCAAATACGCCGACCCTGTTGAGGCGGTCTCTCTAGATGGAACGGGTAGTAAATAATGGGAGTAGGCGGATTCACAAGACGTGGGTATCTTGGACGACATAATATTGATACATACCGATAGTAAAACTGCTTAAATAGCATGGTCGATTACGAGGTCGAGACCATGGATGCGAACTAAAACAGACACACATGTCCGGAGGACAGGCTGCACCAAGAATGCCAGGTGCGATTGATTAACTTAGGCAGCAAAAAGTGAAACATTGTTTCGGCAGTCATCATTTACAGCTAGACAGGAGACGACTCAATACAGATTACGAGTATTTTTGTACTTTACCTGTGTATTACAAATGAATTCAACTAACGTTAATGTTAGAATGCCAACACATTGATGATCTGGATGACATTGTTGGCAGTATCAGGTACGTCATACTAACCACGGTGACTCAGTCCTGTCTGAAGTAACCTCAAACCTTGAGCATTCGGGTGCATTACTGAGGCAGCGCGCATGGCTGGCGCAGCAAACCCTGAGTAAGAGCGAACAATTGCAAATTACAAGACACCGCAAAAGTCGGAGAACGTGTGGTTGTTAAAGTAGCAAGCAAACTACCGAGCATCAATCAACATCTATTTCGGAATTGGGCACATGTCATCTTTAAGAGGGTGCCGACGAGTTAGGGCATATATGGCCATAATCTAAGATAATAGTGAGTCGGTATTACGACAATGCCCTCATTGACAAGCAAGTACGAAAACACCAGAGCAGAGCCTACCTTTATTTTTCCGCAAGTAATAAGAAAGCGCAAAATGTTGGACCCGGACATTCTACAAAAACATTAAACAGGGGGAAAAACAACATGGGCGATAGGAGAAGACAGGAATTGCGGTTCTATGTATTTGTTTCAGAAAATAGATTATTCCTTGGAAACCCTCGCCCTTTTCAAACCATCATGTACAAGCGTCTTCACGGAGTCCGGAGAGACGGAATTGAGGCAAGAAAACGAAGATTTCACGCCTAAAATAGCGCAGAATGAACTATGAAATACCTTCATTCCATTTACGTCGGGCCTCGTATGGGAGCTTTTAATGACAGTTAACAATAAGAAGTAAATTACCCGCTCCAGAGTTCTGGAAGCATGCGGCACTACCTGCTCTCTTAGCTGTTCAAAAGCAACTCGACTGTCGTTTGAAGAACTCCAAACTCCCTCAGCGATTGTGAAATACACGAACCCTCCGACAGCACCGGTCTTTAAAATGACCCTTGGAGAGAATATGTTTGCGTATTAAATGGGATCTACTTTGATATTGCTAGCGCCATGAGCAGGGTCAAGGACAACCCACTCTACACATCCGCCTCAATTTACACCTCCGTAAAACAGATAAAAGTGCTACAACTGTGCAATGATTTACCGTACCAGGCAAAAAATGCTGCAGATTCAAATACCGGGTGCTATTCATTTTACCAATTATTCATGTTCCTTATTTATGGATAGGTAAAGTTAAAGTAAACAATCCTGCAGTTCAACCATGGCCATGGGCTGGCGTTGTAGTGTCCAACAGAAGAGGTTTGATTTAAGTCAAAGAATTGTTCTAGATCGTAGATAGTTTTTATCTCCTCACAAACCGAGAGTTATTTGATACTCTGAACCCGAAAGCGTTCATTAGTCAACACAGTTTCAAGCGCACCTAAGCTCGCAATTTCGTGGAAATGTGGCAGGCAGTTTTATGTACCGATAGTTGATGCAACTGAGTGTAGAAACGAAAGTAGATGGCGGAGGAAAGGTTACAAGGTATGCTAGGTTCAATTCAGTTGAGTCTAGTCTATTTGAGGGAAATAGTCTTGGGCTTTTGAACTCGCTGGTTGTCGCATAAAAATCGGAAGAATTAATAACGAGTGGAAAAAGACTTATGTCCAAAAAAGTACATTTGTTTTAAAGGTCACGTAATCATGCAGTCCATTTTTTGCTGCAGCATGTGTCTGAAAGGACGATATTTGAATGTATCCCAAGAATGAGACAATGCAATCGCATCGGGCACGTTATTCCATGGTTCCATTACACAGTTTGAGAAAAATATCTTCTCACATCCAATATTCCCTGACGCACACGTAATTTAAGGGATTCTCCCTAGGTTTACTGTAGTGGCAAATTGGAAGAAGTCATCACGAAGGAGGGCGTCGTTCAAACCACGCACTATACGGAAGGCTGATGTCGAATCATCGCGCAATTGCCTATAACTTAGACGGCAGAGATTTGAGCTAGTTAGGTGAGTCTCATGTGGCAGCGCTCCTTGAATTCCTATCAATTTTTCGGTTCACTTCTACACTCTCCCGAAAAGGTTGTAATCCTGGTGCGTCTAGGATCTCCATTCTCGGAGCTGATACTTGAAATACGGCCTTGTAAACGTGCCAAACACTCTGGCGAAGCAGTTTTAGTCAAAAAATCGTGAGAGCACGTTTGATAGCGCACAGCATTGCAGTTACAACATTAGCTGCTTTACAACAGTGTGGACGTGGCTTTGGAGTGTTCGTCAAAAAGCAGCTGAGATTTAACAATGCCTAGGGTTCTCGAAGTAGTGTCCCATCCTGAGAGTAGATGTGCGTATCAGGGATATGATTTCGTCTTCCAAGACGAAATATGGCACACATGTCCCAGTTGATCGACAGGAGGCATCTATGGGACCACCGTTCTAATCGACAAAAATTTCTTGGAATTTATTGCCACTCGAGTTTCGAATTGGGTTTGAGATATTTGACCTTCGGGTAATTTTGCCTTTAGCGGGATATCTATCCACTGGACGCCCTCACGGTCCGTGGTTATGAAGAGTACGTTTTGCCTTTGCCACTCGGCCATCCTTACAAATCTACGCCCGGTCTTGCGCGGAAAACCTATTTTCTCCCGGCCGCCTCTTTGCAACAGCAATGAGAGATTCCTAAAATCCAGGAAAGGCTGAGTTGTTTAACTCATATCTTTGGCCTGGTTGAAAATTCGTCTTACACCTTTTTAAAAAACGTTTGAAATTAATGTACTCAATGATGGTATTCGGACAAAAAACAGTATGCATAATAACCACACCTAGCCAGAATCGAACCACGACACTAGACCGGCATGAAGAAAGTTATAACCCCAAGGCCGGCGAAGGGTGTCAGTATGGTCA